GATATTCTACACTGTATATAAACTGTTTATGTGAATTACATGATAAAACAATCAACATGAAACAAGATCAATAAATGTTCTGAAAATTTCTTTGTGATATAATATATCTTCCATGCCTGCGAGAATTGTTTGACTTGAAATAAAAAATAAATAACACATAAATCTCGTGCATGCGGCATTTAATGATAATTAATAGATGTATTTTTCTATAATTTTTTCATATTCAAATTGAATGTCTCGACAATTTTATGAAGAAAAATTGATTTAAATCCATGACAGAATTTGACATTAATGTCGAGATGCCTGCATACGCAGCATTTTAACAAGCATCTATCGCCTGGATGGTTACATTTTTTTTTTATTTAATAACGCAACGTTGAAATACTCGTAATCGTAAAACGCGTTGATCAAGCTGTCGTTCCTGTCGTTTTACTAGCGCCCAACGCCCATGTAACGTTATGCGCTTCCTACGACAAAACTTCCGTAATGGCGGCGTGTTCTCGGGAAAATATCAGCTCTTTAGAAAGCGTTAGAGATTTTTTCATCGAGCATATCGTCATCTGAGCATCGCATCGTGTGCAATGTCGTTACAAATTTGTCGAGTAACCTGAGTAGATCGCTGACTTTTTCGACGCATGAGATTTATCGCAACAAAGAATCTTAGAACAAATTTATTACGATTCTTCCCTTAAACTCGAAAGAGATAATGCTTATTACTTGGAGAATGAAAATACGCGGATATTCATAAACACTTAAACAATTTTAATTAGACTTAAACGCATATTAGCTGCGTTTTAATATACGCGGCTGCGATTCGGAATAATGTAACGTGCAAAGAAATGAAATATATTGACATACTTACAAATTGTGATACTCAAATACAAGATTGTATCAAATCAATCGAAAAGAGATCAATTCGCATTTTTTAAATCTAACAATCGTAATGCACGAATATCCGAATACTCATTTTTAAAGTCTGACAGCGAAATCAAAAGACACGATAAATAATATCTGTCTGAATCTCAATGATTCTGTGTTTTCTTGCCGATTTGCGACGCAAAAGATTTTTGATAAGTCAACACGATCGAAAGTCTCGTTTTGCAATTCTGTGCAAACCTTTGTGATGGTTGTGTCTTAGATTTTGGAGGTAAATTTGCTGATAGATAGTTCGCTTGACAGATCCGTTACCTGGACAGATCCGTTCTCACGAAATGCTGAGAATATCGAAGGTCGATTCTACGTACGCGCCATGCCCTGTACTTTTCTCGCGACAAGAAAAAAATATTTTATGAGACTAGTTTGAAACTCGCTTAAAAAGCAGAAGAAAACACAGTATTATTTCACTATAAAACAAAATTGGAAAAAGGTGCATTTTTTATAAAAATGCGATTGATGGATTTTATTGAATCGCTTGCTCTTTATCAGTACAGAAGGATATTGAAGATTGATGAAGATTACTTAGAAAAATAGCTGACACTGCGTACTGTCTTTGACGAAATTTCTACATTTCACATTACATTCGCCTACCTATTCGCGCACGTATTAGAGCAATAAACAAAACAGCTCCAAGTCTCCCTTCGATATCACACACACGTTAAATGATTAGATAAAAATATGTGCCGTTTCGTAAATCATGCGGTATCACTCATAAATCGAGCGTATCGGAAAGAAGCAAAAAAAAAGATATATCGAGAAAGGGTAGTTTTAAGAACTGTTTTCAGCAAAACGAGAAGAAGAGAAAGAGAGAATAAACAATTCCGGCTACAAACGGGATAATTATTAGGTATCGATTAGCCGGCGTAGGTAAAAATCAATAATTACTTGAGAGTTTGTGGCGCCTTGACGCTTTTGATATACCTAGATGTACCCAAAGAGAAGGACGAAGACATAATCGCAAATGTGCCTTATCGTCTCACCTTCGTGCGGCAATGTTTTCCTCGAGAATCAGTCGATTATTAAAGATTACTATTATCTCAAAACTAGCAAGATCCGAAGCGGTCGGAAATCGGTGATGCGAATGAGCGAATTTCGCGGACGAGCATAAGTAGAGATGATTCGAAGCAAAAAGTACGGTTAGAAAAGAGAAATTGAAAAGTTTAAATTTCGAGCGATGAACAATCGCCCGAAATCACGATCGAATCGCTCGTTGGGATTACATTAGATAAATATGTAAGGATTTTTCTAGAATACGTCATCGAGCCTCGGATATGTCGTAAAATCATGTCGGCGTTTTCGCGCATCGACCTTGCATCCATCACGTAACTCTCAAAATACACCTTTCGCTGATCCGCCCGAATATTCGTGTCGCCCATACTTGCCGAAAAAGAAAGGATATAACTTCCGGCGTCACCAGAATTTTTCCTCTTTACATACGGAAACAAGATGGTGGCGCAAATCGTTTCTAATGGTGGAATAAACCGACGAACGAATCACGAGGCCGTCCCCGCTCGAGGAACGATGTTCTCCCTGTCGCTCAGAAAGGTCGGGAAGAAAGGTTTTCGCATTGGCAAATAGATCCGAATTATATTACGGGAGAGCTCAGCCACACGGTCGAGAGCTCGTGGAGTGAAAGGTGACGACAACGCGGAAAAAAATTATGTCATGCGGCGAACTGCACGCGCGCCCAGCGATGAGATTCCCTCGGTAGAGACACACACATACACACATACACACACACGCATACACACAACACTCGTCGCGATGAAAACTTGATTTCGAGACTCGAGAGGATGCACCGAGTGATACACCTGACGAAAAGCAAACGATGAGTCCGAGGATGCGGAAGTGACGCGAAGACAGGCCGTTGCGAGAAAAGATATTTTTCAGATGCGAACGCGACGCGAATCGGGATCGCACCGATGATAATCAAAGTCTTAGATTTCTAATATCGTCCCGCTCTCGATGAATCGCGCAAAGCGCGACGGCAAATGACTTCGCGATTGCCTTTTCCTTCAGTTTTTCTCGCATTTCGCATCAACTCCTCGAGGTGACCACCTCGCGTGTCCTATTGTCTCGGCCATTTTACATGGCGCGGTTTGTCGCACTGACCACGACTATCGTCATTAAACGCGAATCGATGATCGCACCTATCGCAGCTATCTCACCGATCTTTCCTTAATTCGATACGCTCGTGTCGTAACGCTCCTATTATTATTTTTACTAATACCGCCACTGTCATCTCGACATCATCTCGACGGTGCATCCATTAACATCATCGCGTCGATCAACGACACGATGATGTTACGTTCAACGAAAAAAAGAGGAAAATTTTTTCGCTTCAGATCTCGCTTCAGATTTTATTTCCAGTATCTCGATGGAAGCGTCATACGTCGAACATCTTTTCCACAAGTTTTCTTTTCCCGCTTCTCGCTGATGTCCCAATGCAACGCGTGACACGTATGGTCGTTACATTTCGCAAAGAAAATATGGAGACCCCGTAGAAAAAAGAACGTGCGAATACGCGATCGGTGCGAAGAAGAAGGCGAAATTTCGTCCCATCGGACTCTCGCCTCTTTCTCCTTCTCTTCCTCCTCCTTTTCCTCGTCGACGTCGTTGTCATCGCCGTCGTCGTTATCGTAACCGTTGACAAGATATTATTTATGCCAAGGGACGTCTCTTGAGCGCGTAAAAACGAGGTCGCCCTCTTCTCGTTCTTCGAGAATGCGATTCTCGTGTCCTTTCCTTCTTCCAAGGCGCGTGAGAAAGGAGAGCGCACGCGGAAAGATTCGTCCTCGTCTCTCGACGAGGATTAGGATCGACGAACGCGCGACGTCGATTACATTAGCGACGTAGACGAGGGGGTTCGCGATCGATTTCGTCGAAGGCAACGAGGCGCGTAGGACGAACGGGAGCCATGCGTTCGCATCCACATCCGCGTCCGCGGCTCAACGGCTTGTATACTACTCACGGGTGGTGGTTTGATCTTGCAGATGCCAGACCTCTCGGCGATCGGCCGTATCTTGGCGATGTAAGCGAGGGGGTCGTGAAACTCGTCGTTACTTGGCTCAAACACCGGTGCCTCCGGCGGTACCGTAAACTCAAAGTCGGTTTCGGCGCGGTCGCAAGCCATGTCTTGGGCGCAACGGTGATTCCCACAGCTACGAGTCTCGTTGCTTCTCGATCCCATGATTCAGGAATCGCCAAAGGCACGCCGCGCGGAGTCCGCTGTCTCCAACGCTGGCTGGTTGGCTGATTGGCCGCTGGTTGATACGCACGTACGCACGCACGTACGCACGCACGCACGCACGCACGCACGTATGCACGCGAGCACTTTAAATTCGAGCAAAAGCCTGCTCCACCACTGCGGATGACGTCGCTACTCGATCCGGATTGATCGCGGAATAACGTTGTCGTTGTCACGAGTTCCCGAATCGATCATGTTCCCGCGTGTGTATCGTCGCTGAAATGCTGTTCTCGCTGCTTGACAATGAACGACGCGCACAGACGCAAATCACGCGCACGCAACATCAACGTCGCACGATGCCTCGCATCACACACGACCCACCGCGACTGATTACCTTCTCTTCGTGTTTCGTTCCTTCCCCTCCCACAGCCCAGCGAGCTTCTCGCGAGCGACGACGGCCCGATGACAGCGCCATCGACGGACGAGCGATTGGACAAAGTTCGTGGTTCGTTCCGTCACGTCAGTTCCGTCGTGACCAGTCGTAATTCCGTCTGCTTCGTGGCCGATGGCTGCTTTGTCGATCTGAATTGCCATTTGCCACAGTCGCGCAGTAGCGTCACGTGACAGTCACGTGATGCTGGATCTCGTGGTTTTCCTTCGTTACACGCGCTGCCTCATCACACATGAGAAAGAGACTCGTGATCGTGGTGCATTATTTTTCGCTCCGATCAGCTCTGATGTAATCGCCAGCGCGTCGACAGCGGCTCGATTATGTAATGTATCAAACGAGAGCTTGCAAACGCTGAACTGCGCGTTGCGCGCTTTGTGGCGCCAATGTCGAGAATATACCATATGCCTCGCTCGAAGTAGCGAGGCGACGAGCGATTTTACGCATGCGCAACGTCAATTGTCCGGGATAGGGACACTCTTTCTATGAAAGAGGACGGATTTTATCATCAGTTATAATCGCTATCCTTGCGACGGAAATGAAACCTCTTCCGTTACATCACGTAACGAATACTATATACGATGTACATGTGTCCCTTTTATTTCACGAAATAAGAAAGACGACATTCGACGCGACGTAAAAACGTTCAAATCGAACATTTCTTTTTCAACATTAGGTTTAAGATTAACTTTTTCATCGCGCCAAATTTAGGGTGCAGTCCACTTAGTGCTACAAATGTTTCGAAGCATTTTGACTAATCGGAACAAAGAATTTTGAATGAATTGATCAATCAAAAAATGTTTCGAAGCGTTTGTAGCACAAAATGAACTGCCTTTAGATGTTCAATAAAAATTGATGTTGAGAATCTATTTTCTAGGGATAAATTATTTCTCTAGCTGGTGTAAAAATAAATTCTGTTGGATGCGTGTGCTGTATTGCATGCAAGTACTCTACTTTACCATTAGATGGCATGAAATCCTATGGAGAGTCGAATGTAAAAAAAAATAGACGTTTCTCTTGCATTTGTGCTGTGAGCGACCAGATTACGTAATTATTTAACATTTTCTATTATTAATTATTTTATATTTATCCTTAAATTTTTGAAATTTAAGTTGAGAATATCAGAGAATATGTTTTAAAGAATATTTATATCGTCAGAATTATACTAGATATTGGTTATGTTTCATTAAATATCATGTTAGATCTGTGAATTGCTAATTTTTCAGACTTGAGATTTTAGTCAATATGGGGAAGTACTTTGGAAACCTTGCCAAAATCAATGGCATCGTCTTCTTTCGACTTAGCCCGTACGAACAGAAAACCTTCAAGGGAATAATTTCTGAAGGTGTACCAAACACGATACGCCGCATCCAAGGCAATATATTCCGAATTGCACCCTGTAAGCATGTTTAGCAATTATGGTACAAAATTATGTTTATACTGTAATTTAATTGATAATGTACTTTAATGAGTAATTCTTTTGTCATAATATGCTTTAGAAGATAATTTTATTTTATTTTATAGTTTTCATGTTTTCATACCTGTTGGTATCTTGGGCCAATGAGAAGAATCATGCTCTTTCTCGCAAGAATCCCAAGGACTATGAAAATGATACGTGAAATATAGGTGAATAAGTCTCTAGTTAACAATATTTAGTTTTTATTATGAAATAAAGATACCATTTAATCTGATCTTCAGCACTGAAGTAAAAAATAAATTATAGGAATTAATATATGTGTGCATCCATTTCATTAATATATAAATATGTTTTGTAAATAGTGAATTGTTTATGTACTTAAAAAGTATCCCTCTGTTAATTACAATTATCGTTATAAAACAAAATCGTGATATCGATGTAATTTGGTAGGCAAACATAATTGGATATAACAAAATCTTGTTAATTCTTCAAATTTTCAAATTTATTGAATTATCTTTTTTTATATTTTAACTTTCTAACTTTTCATCAATCTTGAACGTATTGTTTTCTTTAAAGATTGTCATGAAATTCTTCTTTAAACTGGAATATAGATGCTACTTTCTTCAAACTAATGACATTTATTCTCACGTGTGCTACTTGAAAAATTGTTTTATTCTTGTAGAATGACGGATTTGTTACTTTGACATTATAACATCCGGACATTATTAAATTGATCGCTATTTAGCCGGTCAATTAAATTGCATTTTTAACAAATATGTGTTTCCCTCTTTCCTTTCCTCTCTCTCGAATCATGTTCCTCATAACGTTATCCTTTATAACGAATGGTTCTATTGGTTCGAGATACCGGTCTTCGGATTTCTTCGTTTCCCATGGTGCGTACGATGCATCTTGATCGCGGTGCCTCGCATTGTGCTATAATTATAATGTATAAATCCATATATATATTGGCCGACAATGTATAGATGCAATTATTCGCGTTATTCTATTTCCGTGAAAAATAAAAGCTAAGAAAATGGAAAACATATTTGGAAAGTCGATCGATAAAACGAGAAATTCACCGCTGTTGAATTTGATATCGCGTACGATCCTGGAGCATCGCGACGAAGATTGCCGATTCTAAGGGGCCCGACAGCCATGTTGGTCTCGAGGTGTTCGACCAATTGCACGGCGCGTTACCTGCGGCGCACCTGGGAACCTGGGACAGGTAACGACGGTGCGTAGATCGTGGATTACGATCGAATCAGTCGCCGGAGTATTTGCGGTCGAGCATGTTCGGAACGTAGCTCCGCCGCTCGTTTCTCTGTCGCCTCGAGACCGAGTGTCCTTTCTTTGCAGGTCTCTCGTCCGCTTCAGTCTCTTCATGTGCGTGTGCGTGTGGTGCATTGTGAAAAATTTGTAAATAAAAGGTAAGCGATCCCGTTCGTCGCGCGCCTGCTAT